AATAGAGACGGGGTTTCACCGTGTTGACCAGGATGGTCTCGATCTCTTGACCTCGTGATCCACCCGCCTCGGCCTCCCAAAGTGCTGGGATTACAGGCTTGAGCCACCGCGCCCGGCGCCAAAACGCTTTCGACTTTGATGCTGAGCAACTGGGGAGTGACTGAAGGGGCAAATCTGGGTCAGGAATCTCAGGAAGGGAAGAAGGGACAGGAGTGTGAGCAGATCAATGGAGGAGAGGGTGTGCAAAAATCTCTGTAGGGAGGTAGATAACAGTCTCTGTACTTTTGTGAATTATTTTGATTACTTATCATTAAAATGGTGATTTGACAGGGCAGAGATGGGAGCATTTGCTTGCGGCCAGGAGTTCCAGACTGCAGTGATCTATGATTACACCTGTAATTAGTCACTGCACTCCATCTTGGGCACCACAGTGAGACTGTCTCTTAAAAACTAAGTAAATTGGCCGGGCATGGTGGCTCACGCCTGTAATCCCAGTACTTTGGGAGGCTGAGGTGGGCGGATCACCTGAGGTAAAGAGTTCAAGACCAGCCTGGCCAACATGATAAAACCCCATCTCTACAAAAAAAAAAAAAAAAACCAAACAAAAAACCTAAGTAAAATGATAACAATAAAAAATGTTTAAAAGGTGATTTAAAGGTAGGAAGGATTCAACAGTGGCTGGGTCCCAGGAGAAATGTGCTTGGCCGACTCCAAATCCATAACAACCTTCCTCTCTACCACTTCTCCTTTCCCCACTCTCCCAGGTCTCGGTGACTCTGACCACACCCAGCTCAGCACTGGATTCTGCCTTCACTTAGCTCCTGCCTCAGCCCCACTCCGGAGGAGCCAAGAAAAGCCAAACCAATAAAGTCTATGCTGAGATAAGTGGAGTCCATTGTGAAAATTTATTCAAATGACTACTGAGCACTAACAGGGCATGTTTGTCTTTGTGCATCTCTGTATGTGCTGGCACCACCCAATGGAAAAGAAATATGGTCTGGACATGGTGGCATATGCCTCTAATCCCAGTACTCTGGGAGGCTGAGGCTGGAGGATTGCTTAACCCCAGGGGTTCGAGACCAGCTGGGTAACATAGTGAGACCCTCGTCTTTTTTTTTTTTTTTTTAAATGGAGTCTCATTCTGTTGTCCAGGCTGGAGTGCAATGGCATGATCTTAGGCATGAGCCATAGCGCCAGCCTGAGACCCCATTTTTAGGATAAAATAAAAAAAAGGAACGGGTTCGATAGTGCAAGCCTGTCATACCAGCGCTTTGGGAGGCCGAGGTGGGCGGATCACCTGAGGTCAGGAGTTTGAGACCAGCCTGGCCAACATGGCAAAATCCCATCTCTACTAAATGTACAAAAATTAGCTGGACATGATGGCAGTCACTTGTAGTCCCAGCTACTCCAGAGGCTGAGGCAGAAGAATCACTTTGACCCAGGAGGCATCACTTTGATCCAGGAGGCAGAGGTCGCAGTGAGCTGAGGTTGCGCCACTGCACTCTAGCCTAGGTAACAGAGCAAGACTCTGTCAAAAAAGAAAAGAAAAAAGAAAATATGGCCGGGCGCGGTGGCTCAAGCCTGTAATCCCAGCACTTTGGGAAGCCGAGGTGGGTGGATCACGAGGTCAAGAGATCAGACCATCCTGGTCAACATGGTGAAACCCCGTCTCTACTAAAAATACAAAACATTAGCTGGGCATGGTGGCGCGTGCCTGTAAATCCCAGCTACTCAGGAGGCTGAGGCAGGAGAATTGCCTGAACCCAGGAGGTGGAGGTTGCGGTGAGCCGAGATTGCGCCATTGCACTCCAGCCTGGGTAACGAGTGAAACTCCGTCTCAAAAAAAAAAAAAGAAAATATGGCTGGGCGGGGTGACTCACCGCCTGTAATCCCAGCACTTTGGGAGGCCGAGGCAGGTGGATCACTTGAGGTTAGGAGTTTGAGACTAGCCTGGCTAACATGGTGAAACCCTGTCTCTACTAAAAATACCAAAAAAAAAAAAAAAAAAAAAAGAGTCAGGCATGTTGGCACACACCTGTAATCCCAGCTACTCAGGAGGCTGAAGCATGAGAATTGCTTGAACCTAGGAGGCAGAGGTTGCAGTGAGCCAGATTGTGCCACTGTGCTATATCCAGCCTGGTGACAGTGAGACTTTGTCTCCAAAAAAAAAAAAAGGAAACATGGTTTTTATTTGCATCTGTTAACTCATCTGCTTACTCTACAAACCCTTATTGGAAAGTAAATATTGGCAGAGCTGTGCTAAACACTGTATATTCAGCAATGAAGAAAATGGACACAATCTGCCAGTTAGAATGGCAATCATTAAAAAATCAGGAGACAATAGATGCTGGAGGGGGTGTGGAGAAATAGGAATGCTTTTACTCTGTTGGTGGGAGCGTAAATTAGTTCAATCATTGTGGAAGACAGTGTGGCGATTCCTCAAGGATCTAGAACTAGAAACACCATTGGACCCAGCAACCCATTACTGGATATATACCCAAAGGATTATAAATCATTCTACTATAAAGACACATGCACACGTATGTTTATTGTGGCACTATTCACAATAGCAAAGACCTGGAAGCAACCCAAATGCCCATCAATGACAGACTGGATAAAGAAAATGTAGGCTGGGCACGGTGGCTCATGCCTGTAATTCCAGCACTTTGGGAGGCAGAGGCAGGCAAATCACAAGGTCAGGAGTTCGAGACCAGCCTAACCAACGTGGAGAAACCCCATCTCCACTAAAAATACCAAATTAGCTCGGCATGGTGGCACATGCCTGTAGTCCCAGCTACTGGAGAGGCTGAGGCAGGAGAATGGCTTGAACCCGGGAGGCAGAGGTTGCAGTGAGCCGAGATTGTACCATTGCACTCCAGCTTGGGTGACAGAGCAAGATTCCATCTCAAAAAAAAGAAAAGAAAAGAAAATGTGGCACATATACACCGTGGAATACTATGCAGCCATAAAAAAGGATGAGTTCATGTCCTTTGTAGGGACATGGATAAAGCTGGAAACCATCATTCTCAGCAAACTGACACAAGAAGAGAAAACCAACAAAACAAAAAAAAGAACAAAAAAAAGAACAGAAAACCAAACACTGCATGTTCTCACTCATAAGTGGATGTTGAACAATGAGAACACATGGACACAGGGAGGGGAACATCACACATTGGGGCCTGTCAGGGGGTGGGGGGCTGGAGAGGAATAGCAGGGGGTCAGAGGATAGAGGAGGAATAGCATTAGAGATACCTAATGTAGATGGTGGGGTGATGGATGCAGCAAACTACCAATGCACATGTAAACCTATGTAACAGGCCTGCACGTTCTGCACATGTTCCTCAGAACTTAAAGTAGAATAAAAAGAGAGAAAGAAAGTAGACACAATCCTTGCCCCCAAAGAGCTTAAAGTCTGGTGACAAAGAAAGACTTCTAGTTTTTTTGTAGTTTTGTTTGTTAGTTTTTCTAGGACAGAGTCTTGCTGTGTTCCCCATGCTGGAGTAGTGCTGCAGTCATAACTCACTGCAACCCCGAGCTCCTGGGCTCACGCAGCCTTGCCACTTCACCCTCCTGAGAAGCTGGGAGTATTTGGGACTGCAAACATGTGCCACCACACCCAGCTAATTAAAAAAAAAAAAAATTGTGTGTAGAGAAAAGATCTGATCCTTTTGTAGTGCATGAGTGTGATGACTGGGTGTTCATGGGCATGTGTGAGATGTGCCACCCTTGAACCTTCTTACAGTGTTGCCACATTACCATTCTGAAATGAAGAAAAAAAAGAAAAAAGCTCTCAGCCAGGTGCAGTGGCTCACGCTTGTAATCCCAGCACTTTGGGAGGCCAAGGCAGGTGGATCAAACTCCTGAGGTCAGGAGTTTGAGACCAGCTGGGCCAGACTAGTGAAACCCCATCTCTACAAAAATAAAAATAAAAAAATTAGCCAGGCATGATGGCAGTTGCCTGTAATCCCAGCTAGTCGGGAGGCTGAGGTGGGAGAATTGCTTGAACCTGGGAGGCAGAGGTTGCAGTGAGCTGAGATTGTACCATCGTACTCCAGCCTGGGGGACAGAGCAAGACTCCCTCTTAAAAAAAAAAGAGAAGAAAAGAAAAGAAAAAAAATCAGGGAGTGGGTTACTTGCCCCTGTCAGAGCACGGTCCTGCTTCTTGTCCTCTGCTCTGGGAGGCCCAGGTAACTGTGCTGCAGCTTCTGTCACCCTGTGACCTGCATATACTGGGAGATCCATAGCTAAGACAGAGGACACCCCAGAAGCCGGGAAAGTAACACCTTGATGCCTTGTGTGCTCTTCTCTAATCCACAGGATGGGCCATCAACCCACAAAAGACACAAGGTCCAGGACCAGCTGTAAAACTCCTAAAGTCACTTGGCCAGATTTCATTGTGTGTATAGTTGGTGTGGCCTCTGCTAACAGGTATAAAACAAATTAATGCAACCCGTCCACCCATGCCATGGGAATGACTGCAGCACTCCCTTCTCTACAGGCTGAGGGACCACCGTGGAAGAGGTGCGTGCATGAGACTGTATGAGCTGGATTAGATGAGCGCTGTGTGGTCACAAGAGGGAATTTATTTTAAATCCTAATCTGACCTGTAATTTCTGATTTACCCAGAAGTGCCTCCAAAGTGTCTATCTGATGTACTACGCTTTCTGTAGGAACACTTATTCGCTGTAAGTTTCCTCCAAAACAACCCTTGATGCTGTTGCAGAAATCACAGGCTGTGAAGCTTGTAAACACATACACATTCTTTCCAGAGCACTTATACTTTCCCCAACATACAAGCCCTGAGTCCAGGGGGTTGTTGTGTGGAGAGCTACCCAACTTGCGGCCGCCTAAGACCACCCTTCTGTCTGTAAGTTATCCTACTAAATTACCTAAAACCAAAATTAATAAATCAAATCAGGGAGAGAGTAGCAACGAGATTTGCCCAAGGGCTGGCAATGAGCAAAATGCAGAGAGTGTAAGACAATGGGAGGGGCGGGACTGTGGCTCAAGGCATTCTACTAACCAAACAAAAGTCCTGTTTTTTTTTTTGTTTTGTTTTTGTTTTTGAGACAGAGTCTTGCCTTGGCACCCAGCCTATTTTAAATTTTCTTTAAAAAAAAAAAAATTCGGCCGGGCGCGGTGGCTCAAGCCCGTAATCCCAGCACTTTGGGAGGCCGAGGCGGGTGGATCAC